ATGGTACCAATAACAGCACATTTGAGCAATGCAATTGTAGTGGATAAAATGGTCAATTTTTCCGTGCAGTACTGTACGGATTATACGCTCCTCACCGGTTAAGAGTTTGGCCGAGAGTTGTCTCCTTCCTTTTCTGGCCCAGTGCTGTTCTTTTCTACTTTGCGCCGGTCAAACTGAAGGTCACATCGCTACAGAAAGTAAAAGAAGTATATCATTTTATCACTTCTGAAAATTCACGGAGGTTTTTGTCCCAGAAATTTCCGAATTTCTCAATATACTTATTTAATGAAGAAGCAATCAAAAATTCGTTTCCAATATGTCGAATAGATTCATGCCGAAAGTTTGAAACCCAAAATTGATTTTATTTATTTTATATACGATATTACCTAGATGATATGCAAACTAACGAAATTCATTAAACCGAAGTACCTACCCAACCTGTATCAGCCTAGTGAAACATCGCAGACGGTTGAAATCACAAATTTTACTTCTCGACATGAAATTATCTATTTATTGTGAATACAAAATCTTAAACTTTTTATGAAACTACTTTTAGAAAGATGTTAGGGCGAAATGTAGTACCTGTCTCTAGAGTTTTTCTTTTTAATATTACTTCATTAAGCGGACGGCAAAAAACCAATGCTACTTTCAGAAATTAAACTTTAGGGAAAGGTAAATACATATTCTTCTAAAACTGTTTTCATTATTATATATGAGTGTTGTTAGAAACAAACCAGCCACTAGACGGTATACCTAATAAAATTAAAAAGATGATTAGATTTTTTTTAATACGTTGGAGGAAAAAAATTAATTACTTTGAACCCTCTAGAATCACGAAGATTAATAAGACAGTCTTTATACACTACTGACAAATTGTGAAACGAATATAGGGATATTCTTTTAAATACATGAAATTTTTGAAAAATATGACATAGGAAAATTCGTACGAATAGGTATTATCTTCAGCTGTTTTTCCATATACATAATAAAATACAATATAAGTTACGTTATGCTGCGTTTACAATGTTTGGATAGTTCGGTAAGTTTAGTACAAATTTAAGAAAATAAGGTGATATTTTCGGAGATACATGGTTGAAGGAATACTTTCCAGATGTTCACCAAGTTACGTACTTTGGCTCATGCGACATAAAAAGAAATTCGACAAATAAATGTGTATTTTTTATGTTTCGCCTTATCTATATAAAAAGCCTTTCGAAGTGAAATGGCCACCAGCTTGCGCTAGTGAGTATTGTTGTTCAGAGTAAAGTCGTTGAAACCATTGACTTAAGAATATAAAGATGGAACGTAAACTAAAGAAGACTCAAAAGTAGGGCAGAAAAGGCATTTCGAGGCTTTCTTTTAAAAATCGTGGAAATCAATGGGTAGTGGTTAAGGAAGCACATGGGACCGACTAAATGAAAACAAAACAAAAATAAGGATGATGAGGTACTACTCGAGATAGTAGTCGAGTTAAAGACTCTCTGTGGAAGATGTCTGTCCCAGTATTGGTCTAAATGATTCAATTAAAATCACTAAAAAGTTTGGACCATATAAGCGGATCCGTGACAGATTCAGTGATCTCCCTCAATCAATAACATTAGCCCACGCCGCTAATTCCAGAACGGCTGCATACACATATCGAGGCACGAAGGCTATCAGGAGTAAAGCGATGAGGTAACAGGTGCCTATATTATATTGGCTGTCCATACTGCACATGCGTAGTAAATCAATTACCGTATTTAATTTCGATGCTTATTGACGACTAGCACCGAGCGGCATGGCCTAGAGGTTTAGACCATTGCTTAGCACTAGGGAGGACGTCGGTTCAATTTCGTGTCCGTCCGCCTTAGTCCAAGTTTTCCTGTGGTTTCCTTGGTTCGCTTAAGCAAATGCTGGGGCAGTAATTTTCCACAGATAATCTTTCATTCTCTTCTGTCTTCATTTCGTCCGTCTCATCTTTCTCACCCAAACTACCACCCACCCATTCCGACGATTCCTGAAAGGATACTGAAGAGGACCTTCTGCTCTACCTTTCGGCGTAGTCTGGAGGGACTGCCCGCCCACCAGCGTTACTGCCTGGTGGGAATGAAACACCCAAAAAATAGTTGACGATTAACTAACGTAGAGACGTAACCAATAAAATCCAGCACCACTGTACGAGCATAATCCATCCTCCTATGAGAGACATCACTTTTCTCCTTTATACTGGCACTTTACACTTTATCCTTATATTCCTATGTCTATCATTTAAACGCCGAATGACTTAGTAACGACGAGCCTCGTTCACAAATATCTGGTTTCCGGACAATTGGTGAGGGTTCACGTCCAATTTGAGATAACTTTACATATACTATTCTGTACATTTAATGGTTGGTTTATAAGTTACCTAAAAAATGACTGATAATTTTTGTTATTCTATGTACTCTGTGCATTTTCGTAAAAATTTTCATTTTAAAATTTGTAACTATGTTAATTTTGACTTTTCAACTTTTTCTACTTTATTCTAAACTGACGGAATTCCATCTACCTCATTTTGTCTGTGTTTGTATCACACTATTCTGCTGAAAATAAAATCCATTTCCATAAAATCACGTATTCGAATTTCATTGTTCTCCCTCTTGAAATTTAAACAACACTTTTTAAACAGTGTAAAAAGGTGTAGCAGAAAAAAAAGACGAATTTTACTCACTAAATATTTGCCTATGGAAATTAAAATGTTAACACTAGGAAGTTTTTGTTCATTTTTCTTTTAACGTAGTTACCTGAAAAGCTTTGTTAATCATAAGCTTTGTTCTTTCCAATGCGTCCCTAAACGAAGCGCCAAGGCAAACACAATTTACATTATGACAACATAATTATAAAATAAAAAGCCTCCGCTTTCTAGCTGTACTGCATGAAATTAGGGCTATTTTTATTTTAACAGATGCTAAAGCAACACCTTGTAGGTACTTATATGTCGCTGGAAATATTTTGTTCGTTAAATTTAATTAGTGCGATAATTTTCCTCTTTATGTGTAGTTTTCCCTTTTTCGGTTTTGAACTATAACTTCAGATAATATCGGTAAGAATGGAAATACCGGCCGAACGTATATTGGTTGACTATACAGGGTGACTGGAAATTACCAGTATTCCTTTCGGGAGTAGCAACTACTTGACACCTTCCTTTTGGGTGTTTCATTCCCACCAGCCAGTATTGCTGATGGGCGGGCAGTCCCTCTGGACTCATCGGAAGGTAGGACGGAAGGCCCTCTTCAGCCTGCTTTCAGGAATAGTGGGAATGGGTGGGTGGTGGTTCGGGTGAGAAAGTTGAGACGGACGAAATGAAAATAGAAGAGAATGAAAGATTATCTGTGGAGTATTACTGCCTAAGCATTTGCCTAAGTGGTCCAAGGAAACCACAGAAAAACTTGGACCAAGGCAGACGGACCCGAAATCGAACCGGCGCCCTCCCGAATGCTAAGCAATGGTCTAATCCTCTAGGCCATGCCGCTCGGTACTACTTGACATCTCTTTTCTATGTTTACGATATTCCCTACAATGTCTGTCATGAGTAAAAATAGTCGTTCAGACAACAACCGCTCTACTATCACTTAAGGGTCGGAAGTGCGCCATTTTTCAGAAATTCTACTTCGGTTTTCACATGTTTTAACACACAACATAACATCAAACATTAAAGTTCGTAGTTTTTAACTTTAGGGAGATTGAACAATTAGTAAGCTATCAGATCATGAAAAATTTCAGGCCAACCACCAAGTGGTAGAGGTTAGGTTAGCTCACATCACCGCTTCGAAGTTCTGCATTCCCTCCTTTCTGTTAGTTGGAGAGATGGGTACGAGATTTTAACGTCATCCAGAATATGGACAGATTTTACGATAGCATATTCAGATTATAGGAGGGGAGATTACCTTTCTGAGAAGGCGGAAAGCCCACATAGAACAGAGGGCAAAGAATGACGAAAATTTCCTATTTTTCTTAATTAAGACATCGAAATACTGCTTAAAAATTTACAAAAATGTAGATCTCGATTACAAGGAAAGGGGTTGCCAGGAAAGGGAATTTTATAAAAAATTATAAAATTCCGTTTTCAAATTGTCGAAGTCAAGGATATGTATTCCAATTAAAAACAATGACGCGACCTTCAAATGGTCTGAAAGGTCAAGGTCAAGGTCATAGTAAAGATTACCAATTGATTTTCACTTCAAAAGCATACAACTTTTGGCTAAAATGTTTTCCGAAGTAATAATCTCACGTTTTTTTCAATATTGTTTGTCTATTTCATCCCTGTTCGTCATCCCTTTTGTGCCCGCTCTTTGGTAATTCAATGAAGTACTTATAGCGATGTCTACATATCTGTAAACCCTTGAGCACCATCTCGATGATATAATTAAAAAAAATAAGATAGTTTTACCCTCTGTGTTTACTGCCTGTTCCCACTGATCTATCCGACTGCTTAAAAACATAATCCCCCTATTATCCGACCATGTTTACGTAAGATTAGTCCACATGGGTGATGTTGAATACACGTAACTACAACTCATACACTACATAGACAGCTAACTCTCATCCAAATTCTTTAGTTTATTAGTTGTGCTCGAAATTGCGAGTATGTCCATAGTTCACTATGTTTATATCAAAGAAATTGTAATATCTTTAATTTTTGTTACAGGTTCCTTACCTGAAAAAGAAATTTCTACAGTTCAATAAGACTCTTCGGTAAGTGCATCTTAAGTTCTATATTTTTGTTAGGGTCAAGCCTTACGAAAAGCTGACGCAACTTTGTTGTTGTGCTTATATTGAACTATACAGTAAAAATATAAATTACCTCAAGTTAATGAGGAAAAATTGTTTCTGTTGTCACACCCTTGCCGGGAATCGAACCCACAATCTTTAGCTGTACGTACCAAAACTCTGACCCCAAGTAAAACTCACCGAAATTAAATGATGGTATCCTCTGAGGTAAAGCACTCCGGACGTAAACTAGTCCACCATTCGGATGTCCGGGCGGGGACTACCTCGGGGGATGTCATCAATAAGTGCAATAGGGGTAGGTGCAATATTTCAGGAGTCGGAGCGTGGAATGTTAGAACAATGAGGCAAGATAGAGAAGGTTAGAAATGAAGAGATATTAGAAAGAATATGAGAACAGAGGACTCTATGGAAGTCAATAAAAAATAGGCGAGATAGGTTGGCAGGACATCTTCTCAGGCATGAAAGTTTAGTCAGAGGCATATTAGAGGCAGAAACGGAAGTTAGAAGGGGTACAGGTAGACCTAGATTAAATTACTGTTCGCAAATAGTTAAGGATACGGGTTGTTCTAGTTTTAGGGAAATGCGAAGATTAGCTCAGGATAGGAAAAAGTGGAGGTGCATGTGCAGCCAGTCTTAGGAATGACGACCTTATGATGATGATGAAAATAGTAATACTGGTATGCAAGGGAAGAAAAGGTAGGGGAAGAGCAAATGTAAAGATAGATAAATTAGAATATGTGAGAAGGAAGGAACTCAGGTAACTCAAGATGGAAGGAGCAGTAGAGATTTAAATAGAGGATAGCACAGGGTCGAGTCGCCTTCAACACAAAGAAGTCTGTGCTATGCTCTATGCTCAAGATTTAATTTAAAAATTCGAAAAAGATTGTTAAATGTGCAGGTCTGGTGTTATAGGCGAATGATGAGGATACAGTGTACAGGGAAGGTTAGAAAATAATAACATAAAATTTAAAATAATAAATAATTAAAATCATATTTAAATTGTGGTTATAATTTGGTCATCTTGGTTTTACTTATTTATTATTTCAACAATTAATACATTATTTCAAATTTCAGGCTGTTACTTTAATTTGTGACTGTGAATNGAATTTCTTTAAAGTTTTTCATCTAATTGTAAGTATCTAACAAATAAGTATTTTCTAGGGTGAGTATATAAGAAAATTCTAATGTCTCCGTCCAACATTATTAAGTTAATTAAATGATGTACCTTTTGATAAAGTCTAAGACCGAAAGCCAAACATCGATGGGGAAATCATAATCAGTAAAAAAAGTTTCACTTCTTTTTGATTACTTCCAATTAAAAAAATCTTCATATATTATTGAGGATGATTGTTGGTACAAAGGACTAAATTGTAAATCATATTTCCGGCCCAACTTGACAATATTACTAAAGCCGGATATTTATCGCCGTTTCCAAGAAAGAAAGGCATTCTTCCAACTTTGTAATATGATTAATAATAATAATAATTATCCCAGCAACATCTTTTTCCATTTCTTGCAGCAATTTAAACGAATTTTTATAGAAAATTCTCTATTGTGGTCGCACCGTTCTTCATCGCGAACGCTTCATTCTTTGGAAAGTTGTGAAAGAGCACACTTAAGTTCTGGTGTAAGAAAACGCTTCGACTTTATGACCCACTATAAGTCATGTCGAGAGATCTTGCGATTTTCTCGAGTGGGTTGCCTCTTCATGAGCAACAATTGCACCTTAACTTAGTTTGGTCGTCAAGCAAGGACTACATCCAAAAGATTAAAGTGACTGTAAAGGATAACTACAATTTAATCGCGCTTGCGGATGTAAGGAATTTATTTTCAAATCTAAACTGGGTTTAAACGGGAAACAACTAAAAGTTTTATTCAGGTATTTAAATAAAGTGAAAACCAATTTCATGATACATTGCAATTGACACTTTGTCGAATTCAATTTCATGCCAACAGTGGAAATTGTTCATAACAACATTAGTTATAACGTTGTCGAATGAACTCCTTTTATTCCCTAGTTTTTTACACAACGATTCAATTGGTACAAACAAAAGAAAACCTCTTTTCTTTACCTATTCACAAAAATTCAAAGAAATCTTTTGAAATGCAAGTACCTAACCTTTAAACAGCAAGGATTTATTGACACAGAAATTAAATTGTATTATAAATTAAATAAAAATCTCATTTTCTCAAGCTAGCTCTAAATTTTTTCGGTCTAGAGAAATTTCCCTAGGGTTGTTAACGTTGGCAAGAAATCGAACATGATAGTAGACATATCTCTCCCCTCTGACTTTTCGATGTTCGTCAGTTTTTCTTTTTACAAAGTATCTTGACCAAAATTTGTAATTAATATTTGTAGAATTCTCTAGTCAAACCAACGCTAAAAACATAATAATAACAACAGAAAAATCGGATTTAAAGTCAATTTTATAATGCTATGATTTCATCAAATGGTCATGTTATTGTCGATAACTTTGACCCATTGACACCTCGATCGCCTAAATATTAGATAGTTGCGTACCCCATTGTATGTTAGCATTTATTGTAGGATTCTGCATATTTATAAATCACGTTTTGTACCATTTCCATATGGATCGCATGGTTGATAAAAAGGTTTTTCCAAAATTGCTCAGTTTGTTATGTCGAATATGTACCATAAAAGTGCGTATGTATTATTAACATCTTTTTCTTACATCAAAGCATCGCCTTTTTCCGAAGGTTGATGCTAATATGAGCAATCTGCAGGCATTTACTCATTTTTCAAATATTGGGGTTTTTCTAGACTAATAGTGGCAAACTACGAGGGTGGATTGATAAGTTTCCGGCCTGACCAAGAAAAACAAGGTTTTTAAAAATTTTTTTTTTTTATTTCTCAACATAATCTCCTCCAAGGCTGATACATTTCTCATAGCGGTGTTCCAGTCTATTAATGCCATCTCTATAGACTGATTCGTCAAGCTCCTCAAAATAACCATTTACAGCTTCGATTACTTCTTCATTGTCCGCAAATCTCTTACCGCCAAGCCATTTTTTGAGATTAGGGAACAGAAAATAGTCACTCGGGGCTAGGTCTGGAGAGTAAGGAGGGTGCGGCATCAATTCAAACTTTAGATCGTTGATTTTAGCCGTCGCAACGATTGACGTGTGCGCTGGTGCGTTATCGTGATGAAACAAGATTTTTTTCTTCGCCAGATGAGGTCGTTTAATTTTCACCTCGTGGCTCAAACGTTGCAATAAGTCTGCGTAGTATTGACCAGTGATAGTATTACCCTTTGCAAGGTAATCAATGTATATAATACCTCTTGCATCCCAAAAAACAGTAGCCATAACCTTGTTCGCCGAAAAAATTGTTTTTGCCTTCTTTGGAGTTGGTTCCCCTGGTCCAATCCACTGTTTAGACTGTTCTTTGGTTTCAGGAGTGTAGTGGTGGACCCACGTTTCGTCAACGGTTACGAATCGACGCAAAAATTCGCTTGGATTACGCTTATACAATGACAAATTTGCGGTAGAAATGTTTTTTCGAATCAATTTTTGGTCGACTGTTAGCAAACGCGGCACCCATCTTGCACAGAGCTTTTCCATATGCAAATGTTGGTGCAAAATATGTTGCACACGTTCATATGACATCTTACAGGTCTCAGCTATCTCACGCACTTTCAATCTGCGGTCTCCCAGCACTATTTGATGAATTTTTTCGATCATATCTGGAGTTGTGACCTCAACGGGGCGTCCTGAGCGAGGCCCATCAGAGGTGCTCACACGACCCTTTTTAAACTCGGAAACCCACTGCTTAACGGTTGAATATGACGGGGAGGATGTCCCCAGTGTTGAGTCCATCTCTTTTTTAATTTCCTTCGGCGTTAACCCCTTCAAATAAAAGTATTTGATGACAGCACGATTTTCCTGCTTTTCCATTTTTACGAAAACCACAGAGGCGTCTTGTTCAGCGTGCTGTCAAACCTACACTAGCAAGGAGATCGGGCTGAAACTATAGCTACAAGCTATCCAAGGATGGTACTATAGAATGTCACCTCAAGGTAGGCCTAGTGGCGTCATCTCTTGGTTAGGCCGGAAACTTATCAATCCACCCTCGTATATCATCAGTTGCGAAGATTAAGCATGATTCATATTTTTCTATTTAAAGTGACTCAAGTATAGTTTTTCTATCTTTCCGTTATAGTTTCTTCAGTTCAGTAACAAATAATTCTTCTATATACTTCCTTATTTGCCTTTGTCACCCGTTTTAATTGGATTTTTTATACATTGTAATAAAACAATGAAATGAAATCCATACTTCATTAGCTTTGGGTTCCTCTAATAAGTTTTTCGAATCGTTTTCCAAGAATCTTGAATTATACGCATTTGTTAGCACACCTCAATATCTTGTAGTTTTCAGTTCTACACATTTGGCATATATAAATTCGATATTATTTTGCGAGCTGTTTTGTAGTAATTCATAGAATTTCGTAGTTCCTTGCTAAAGGTACGGTAAGTAGTGATTTGGCGGATGCTGATATCAATTTGGAACTTTAAAATTCCATGAACCATGACATTGAACCTGGAAAACAATATCGATCCAATATTTTAGATTATCCATTGCCAAGGAGTTTAGAATTTTTTGAACTCTCTTTTGTTAAACAATTAGAAGGCATTCATGGAATGTCTCTTTGTCCCCTTTTTATGCTTCTAATACCTTCAATGGCCAATGTGAGCAACTTTCATTCATCATTTTATATAATGTTTGATCGGTGATACTAGCAAAACCTTCAACTTTTGCATTTTAGAAATAGAAAATACGTTTAGAAAGGTATTTTAAATAAAACACAAAATGCTTTTCTCAAAAAGTAATTAAATGCAAGATAAAAATCATTATCATTAACATAAGGTCGTCAGTCTTAGGACTGGTTGGACACGCACCTCCACTCTTTCCTATCTTGCGCTAATCTTCTCATTTCCCTAGAGCT